TCAAAATTCCGGCCGAAATACGATACAGAAAGCTAACGAAATTTGATACAAAAGTGCAAATTACTGTTCACATATTCGTGTTGATCTGTATGTAAACAACATTACTTGAAACATTATAATGATGCATTCGCCCTCATATGCTGACTCTTACCTAGTGGAATATATTTTTATATTCCAAATATTGTGTCCTGCAGAACAAAAATCTAATTCTCGTTCCTCTGCTATAGTACTGTTAATAATGATACTGATAATCATAATGATGGTACTAATGATGGTAATTATAATAATAGTAATACAGATAATGGTCATAATAATGATATTAATATTAATAATTATATTACTATAATGATGATTATGGTAATAATGATAATGTTAATGATAACGATAATGATGATGATGATAATAATAATAATGATAATAATATAAACAATAATAATGATAGCAATGATAATGGTAGAATAATGATAATGATAATAATAGTAAAGATAATAATAATCATAACAACAGCAACTACATCAACCATAAAGATAATGATGATAATGGTGTTGATAATGACAATGATAATGATAATGATAATGACTACATCTACTACTATCATTGATACTGCTATTATACTATTAATGATAATAATGATAATAACAATATATATATATATGAATAAAAATAATAATAATAATAATAATATAATAATAATAATAATAAACTTAATATAATGATAATGATAATGATAATGATAATGATTAATAATGATAATGCAATAATCAATAATTAAATATATATACAAATGATTATGCAATTGATGATTGTAATACAATAATAATGATGATGATAATAAAAAGGATATTATAATAATTGTAATATAATGGTAATTATGGCAAAACGATAATGATGACAATAATAATCTGATAATAAGAAGGATTATAATGATAGAATAAGATAATAGCGTATGGTTATGAAAATTATAATAATGATAATAATAATAATGATAATAATAATAATAATAATAACACAATAATGATGATAATGATAATGATAATGATAATGATAATGATAATGATAATGATGAATGAATGATAATGATAATGATAATGATAATGATAATGATAATGATGAAATGATAATGATATGATAATAATGATAATGATAATAATGATAATAATTCTAATAATGATAATAAGAGAGTAATAATAATAATAATAATAATAACAATACAATTACAATAATAAAACAACTACAACTACAATAATAAATAATAATAATAATAATAATAATAATAATAATAATAATAATAATAATTAATAATAATAACAAATAATGATAATAATAATATAATTATAATGATTATAATAATAATGATAATAATGATAATGATAATAATATGATATAATAATAATAATAATAATAATAATAATAATAACAATAGCAACAACAACAGCAACAACAAAAAAAACAACAACGATAATAATAATGATAATGATAATAATACTGATAATGATAATGATGATAATAATAATAATAATAATAATAATAATAACAATAACAATAACAATAACAATAACAATAATAAAACAACCACAATAATAAATAATAATAATAACAATACAATATAAATAACAATAATAAAACAAACCACAATAAAATAATAATAATAATAATAATAATAATAATAATAATAATAATAATAATAATAATAATAATAATGATAATAGTGATAATAATAATAATGATAACAATAGCAATAATAATAATCATTATAATAATTAATAATAATAATGATAAAAAATAATAATGATGATAATGAGGATAATCAGAAAAAAAAATAACAATAATAATAATAGTGAAAATAACATTAATAAAACAATAAGGATAGTAATAATAATAATAATAATAATAATAATAAATAATAATAATAATGGAAACAATAAAAAATAGTAATAGTAATATTCAATAACAATAATAATATAATAATTATACTACTACTACTACTACTACTATATATAATAAAATTGTTAGCTCCAGACTCGTCAGGCAGGGTAAAAACACAACGTGCTGCAACTCTTTATTCTATTTGTTCCAACAACATTGTCGACACCACCAACTGCACCAAGACAAAGTCCAGAACTTCAATGCGGCACTGTCATGTCTCAGAAGGGCACATTTACTGTCCCTTTGTATTCACTCTCACTTGACTGCACAATTCCATGATGCTTATGTTTGTAATAATGATTCTACTCTAAAATATCAAAATCTTTGACAGCGGCCGCTTTCCATGTTCATTTGATTGTTGATTCCTCTCTTCTCTCCTCACCAACAAGCTCTTATAAAAATATACTTAAATGTACATGATCTTGTAATTTATTTTAACAGTACATGGTTCCTCTCTCTTAAGTAATAAATCATTAGAAATTACAGTATTCCTCAATGTGCATAGCAAAAGTCGAAGATTGTTTATAATGGTTTATAAACATATAAAACGAATATTCCAGAAGATAATGTTGGAACTTCACATAAAACAGAAAATGTAATTAAACATAAGGGGAAACTAATTTACTCAATACGATTCAAGAATCGTGTTACATTCCCCCCGCCAAGAATTATTGATCTTCAACAGGTAAAATAAGTACTAATTGTGGACTGATCTATTTACTCTTACATCTTGTTGACCCTCATAGTCTCCATTCTCTTTCTGTATTTTGTATCTAATTTCGACATCCCTGACTTTACCATCTGAACTG